AGCCGCCGTCCTCCGCCCACACCCACAGCCCCACCTCGCGCACCTCCTCGTAATCGAACGAGCGCAGCGCGTACAGCGCGCCCGTCTCCGCCTGCACCGACACGTACGACGACAGCGCCGAGCCCCGCACACCACCCTCCCCCAGCCGGTACCGCACGCGCGCGTTCTCCCCCCAGTCCGAGTCCGTCGCCCGCACCCGCAGCACCAGCGCGCCCGCCACGTTGTTCTCCGACAGCCGAGCGCTGTAGCGCTCCTGCAAGAACACCGGCGCGTTGTCGTTCACGTCCAGCACCCGCAGCCACAGCACCCTGCTGCTCTGCAGCGACGGACGACCGCCGTCGGCCGCCCGCACCGTCACGTTGTACTCCGACTCCTGCTCCCGGTCCAGCTCTCTCGCTGTCACCACGCGGTAGTAGCTGCCCTGCGAGCTCTCCAATCGGAACGGGACTCCCTTGTCGAGCGAGCAGCGTACCTCGCCGTTGGCCCCCGAGTCCTGGTCTTGCACTTGTAGCAGGGCCACCACTGTCCCTGATGGGGCGTCCTCAGAAATCTCACTCAGAGCCGACCGCAGCGAAATTTCTGGCACATTATCATTTATATCTGCGACAGTGATAGCGACTTTCGCCGTGTCAAAATGATCGCCGTCATCACGTGCCTGTACCTCCAGTTCGTAGAAGTCGCCTTCCTCGAAGTCCAGGCTTCGCAATAGCGTGATCGCTCCAGACTCGTAGTCCACGTGGAAAAAATCCGATGCCATGTCCATCGGTTTCTTCATCGAATATTTCACGTGCCCGTTGAGACCCTCGTCGGCGTCGGTGGCCGTGACTTTGACTAGGACGGAGCCCACGGGCACGTCCTCCGGCACACGCACCGTGTACTCCGCCTGGCTGAACACGGGCGCGTTGTCGTTCGCGTCCAGCACCGTCACGCGGATCCGCGCCGTGCCCGTCCGGGACGGGTCGCCGCCGTCGCTCGCCCTCAGCACCAGCTCGTGGAACGCCGCCTCCTCCCGGTCCAGCGCCTTCGCCAGCACCAGCTCGGGACGCTGATCCCCGCCGGGGCCCGTCTGCACGGCCAGCGAGAAGTGCTCGTCGCCGCTCAGCTCGTAGCTCTGCAGAGAATTCCGTCCAGAGTCGGGGTCGTGAGCCCTGGGAAGTGTAAATCTCGACCCCGGGGCTGTCATCTCGCTTATTTTCTCTTCCACTTCAATGTCCTTGAAGGTGGGCGCGTTGTCGTTAATGTCCGTGACTTCTACTTCGATTTCATAAAACTTCATTTCCCCCTCCACTATCAGCTCACAGCGCAGCACGCATTGCTCCACCAGCCGGCACAGCTGCTCTCTGTCGATCCTCTCGGCCGTCACTAAATGTCCCGTCTTCCCGTGCAGAGCAAAATACTGCCTCCTACCTTCCGTGACAACTCGGACACCGCGACCGCTGAGCGACGGCATCTGCAGCCCCAGGTCCTTGGCCACGTCGCCCACGAACGAGCCCTTGGGCATCTCCTCGGGCACCGAGTAG